TCCGTCCCTCTCTCTTTGTCCACTTACCTTTTGGCACACCATCCAATGCACTTCTTTAATCCATTTTATCTTGTAATTTGTATATTAAAAAATTATAGAAATTATATATTAATAATCTATATGTTAAGACAAATCAAACAAGATCACACATGACTATATTTAGGCTTACACATTGAGAGAATTTGATGAGTCAAAGTGCTTAGATGAACAGTTCTAAAAGTCAAAAGTAGACAAAGAGAGTGGGACGGAGGTAGTATTAGAGAAAGCCCCTTATGATGGGCATTTTCCCATTCTCAAACGATTGGATGCTGGAATATTAGTGGACTAAATAGTCCTAATAAGTAGGATGAGGTTCTCTTTTTCCTGTGGAAATATGATATTGTGTTATGTGGGTGGCTGGAAACTAAATTTATAGAGAATAATTTCAAAAATATTGAAAGTAGGATCTGTCAGGGTTGGAATTCCTACGTAAATAATACTCCCTCCGTCCCTAAATAAAGTTCCTCTTTCATTTTGTCTTTGTTCATAAATAAACTTCTCTTTTCCCTTAAAAAACCCTTTTTACCCCTTACTTTTTCATACTCTACCTATCACATCATACCTTTTTACTAATAATCTACCTATCACATCTTACTTTTACACATCACATCAAGGGTATATTTGAAAAGTCAACACAAAAATATCCCTCCCTTAAATCCTCAAAAAGTCAAAAATGGAACTTTATTTAGGGACGGAGGGAGTACTTATCATCCATTGGGTAGAATTTGGGTTTGTTAAAGAGTATCCCACATCGAAACTTGAAGAGAAAACTAAACTGGTATATAAGCCTTTGAGTTGAACTAAGTAAAAGATTGGATTCAATCTTTTAATGTGGTTCAGCCCAAGAGTCTTATTGCCCAATCCAGTTATCCTTACACATCCTAAATTCTATCAGGGTTCTCTGGTAATCCAATAAGGTGAATGTTAGTATCTTGGATGCTAATGAGCAATGGGTTCACTTTAAATGTAGAACACCTAATGAGAGTAAGGAGTTCTGCATTACCTTTGTATATGGTCACAATGATGCAGCTAAGAGAAGGGATCTACGGAATGCTATTGAGAATATTGCATCATCCAACATCAATGCATGGTGTATTATTGGTGACTTGAATAGTATTTTGGAGATGGATGATAGTATAGGTGGAAACCCTGTTACTTTGGATGAGATCAAGGAATTTAGACATTGTGTCCAAAATTGTGGTCTGGAAGAAATTCCCTCTGAAGGATCTAGGTACACCTGGTCTAACAAACAAGGGCCTGACAGAAGAATCTACTCCAAGATTGATAGAGCCTTAGCCAATATTGACTGGTTCAATATGATGGACACTAAAGTTCTAATTAAAGAAGAAGGGATTTCTGACCATTCCCCTCTTCTTATAGGAAATTGTCCTGGACCTGATGGTTATTCCAGTGGATTCTTTAAACACCAATGGAGAACTGTTGGAGATCTTGTGACAAAGGCAGTGCTAGAGTTCTTTAATTTCAGGATGGAGTCACCCTTCAACAGATTAATAACACTAATATTTGTATGATTCTCAAGATTGATAGCCCTGAGAGCCCTAAGGACTTTAGAGTTTAGACCTATTGCTTGTTGCAATGTTGTTTATAAGGTGATCTCTAAGATCATTTGCAGCAGAATTAAGGAAGTGTTACCATATCTGATCAACCCTAACTAAGGTGCTTTTGTTGAGGGAGGGGAATTGGTCCATAATGTGTTATTATGTCAACAGATGGCTAGGTGCTTAATGAAAATGGATGTTCTTAGGGTCTACAACAGAAAAGGTATTAGCCCTAGGTGCTTAATGAAAATGGATCTAATGAAGGCTTATGACTCTGTCAGTTGGAAACTTGGAAAGGCCTTTTCTAGATAATGGAGGTTATGAAATTCCCAAAAAAGTTCATTACCTGGGTCTCTTTCTGTGTAAAAAAGGTTTCTTTCTCAGTACAACTTGATGGAGAGGTGTTTGGGTTCTTCAAAGGGGGCAAAGGTATTAGACAAGGAGACCCAATCTCGCCCTTGCTGGTTACTCTAATAATGGAATACCTGACTAGGACTTTCAGCTATTATGCAAAAACGAGCAACTTCAAGTTCCATCCTAGATGTAAATCCCTTGGCATTATTAACATTGTCTTTCCTAATAACTACACACAGATTGGGGGGCTGTAATTTTCTAGTGTGCTGTTTTTGTGATTAGCTGTTGGTTTTGTGCTGTAAGCATTGTTGTACTGGGTTGATTTTGGAGTTTAATATATTGTGCTTTGTTCCAAAAAAAAAAAAAAGGAATTCTGGGAATTGTGAAAACCTTTTTTGGGACAGGGGGATTATGACATTAACATGGTAGTATGGTACTTTAATCACGTAATGAACCATCAGTTTTATGCTCCATACATGTAGCAGATCATCATTCATTATCCTCCATGGAAGTGTAATTATCTCTGATTAATAATCGATTCCAAGCTCTATGAATAAACTTGATGTCATAGTTTAATTCCTTGCCTCTATGAATTTGCATTATAATCCATAATCCATGGTAGAAGATTTATTCAAGTATAGGAAACCAAGAAGCACAACTTGACAGCTATTTTGGATTTTACAGTACACTGGGTCAGGGGCTTCAAACAAGTACCTACACTCCGGAAGTTCTTTTCTCTATAGCATTAGCCATTCTCGGGCTCCTCTTGTTTGCTCTTCTTATTGGAAACATGCAGGTTTGTCTCAACTAAGATGATGTGATTTTTTTATTGGTAGCTGATTTAGAAATTACTCTATCAAGGTCTAGCCATATTCTGACAAAAATTTTCTCCTTCAAAGGGTGCGTTTGGAAAGGTGGAAATGGCTTCTTGAAAATGAGCATTTTGGAAAATGACTTCTGGAAAATAAATTCATTTTCTGGTTGTTGGTTGGAACTTGAAAGTTTGGAAAATGAAAAAATAATTTCTGTTTTAATACTATTGTAAAACGGGGTGAGTTTTGATCCAAGAAATTGGTGAAGGTTGGAAAAGTTCTTCCGTAAAAAAATGAAAATCATTATTCTCAAAATAAGGCTTATTTCTGTTGATTCCTTCTATTCCCAGACCAACCAAGTACTGGAAAATGTGAAAATGACCTATTTTCATTTTTCCCAAATGGGAAAATTTGTGGTGATCTTGTGTTTGGCACTTGAAAACTTTTAGATGTAAAGGTTGCCCAGTGTTTGGCATGGGGGGGGGGGGGGATTTTTATACTTTGAAGTTTAGTTAAAGGACTTCCAATTTTTATGTGAGAAATTTTGTGTCAAACATTATATTATACGGAGTACATAAAACATCTTGTTTATTTTCCGGGCCACAACTAGTTATTCTACCGTAGGAAATGTTACTAGTAGACATGATGAATGAAATGAGTTTTTGTGCTTTTATAAGGAAAAAAAGATATCATGTGAGATTTACAAGAATCCTTGCTTTATCCAATAGACCTATCTTCAATCTATAACGGTTCGGCTGGAAGAAATGAGGATAAAAAGGGGCGACTCAGAGCAATGGATGCATCACCGTGTACTGCCGCCTGAACTCAGGGAACGCGTCCGACGTTACGAGCAATACAAATGGTTGGAAACCAAAGGAGTAGATGAAGAGAGTCTGGTCAGAAATCTACCAAAAGACCTTAGGCGGGATATCAAGCGACACCTCTGTATGAACTTAGTTAGAAGGGTAAGAAGCTAGGTGTATTTATTAATTTCTCATCTGCATTGATATATTCACTCTTACCAGGCCAGTTCTTGGGGGGAAAATGACTAAACTAGGAGTAAAACATGGAGAAAGTACCCAAATAAGAGCTCCATGTTTTTCTTCCCCAAAATAGGAGTACAATGCTAATATATTGTACCAAAAAATACAGTGGGATGCCACTATACAGTGTCATAATATCACAATGCAAACTCTTATTTTGGAATAAAAATATGGAAATTCCTATTTGAGGATAAATGCTACTCGTTTTACTCCTATTTGGAGAGATTTCTTATTCTTTCGGGATGACTGCATGCACGTGTTTCATCATTGTTTGCAGGTCCCTCTATTTGCAAACATAGATGAGAGGCTGCTGGATGCCATTTGCGAGCGGCTGAAGCCAAGCCTGTACACCAAAGACACCTGCATTGTTCGCGAAGGGGATCCAACCCTCGAGATGCTCTTCATAATCCGGGGTCGGTTGGAGAGCATCACCACCGACGGGGGAAGAAGCGGCTTCCTCAACACTGGCATTCTAGAAGAGAGTGACTTCTGTGGTGAGGAGCTGCTGACGTGGGCCTTGGACCCTAAGGCCGGTTCTAACCTGCCCCCCTCCACCCGGACCGTAAAGGCTCTGACAGAGGTGGAAGCGTTTGCACTAGTGGCCGAGGAAGTGAAGTTCATCACCACTCAGTTCAGGCGCATCCACACCAGGCAGGTCCAGCACACGTTCCGGTTCTACTCACAGCAGTGGAGGACTTGGGCAGCCGTCTTTATCCAGGCGGCTTGGCGCCGCCGCATGAAGAGGAAAATGGTACAAGTAGCTCGTTCTAGTGAAGTCCAAGAGAGCGATGAAGACGAAGAATCTGGCGATGACAATGAGACTGCGGCATTGATCTGATCTCCTAGTAATAATCTTTTGGGGTTATTATATTATATTGCTTACCAATGCTCTGCGCAAGAGGTCTGTCTTAAAGTCCAGAAATCAAGCCTCATGGTTCACTTCCAGAGCCTGGCTTCCCCTGTTTGGTTAGTGCCTCATAAGTACCCCCCACACAAGGGGTTATTATCCACTTGTTGTTCCTTTGGCGTGGGTGGGATTATTATTAATATGGTTATTAAGAATATCAAACGCAAATCGTTCTTTAAAAGTTTTTAAAGTAAATTAGAGCAATACTTTGTAAATATTCCTCTAAAAGTTTTAAAACTTTTTCCTCATCTTCTTCGATTCAAAGCATTTGTAGTGGGCGATTGTTATGATTTCCAGTGTTTAGCCTATTTTAGTACAACTGTGTCTGTGTGTATGTCTTTAGTTTCGGACAGATTTGACTTGGTTTTTGTATGAATTAAAAGGCAAAATTGACGCATTTTTTTGCGCTAAGTGAGCAGTTAAAATGCAGACATGTATTTTTTTCACTCTAATATACCAAATTTACCTCAACTTATTCTCTCCATCGACTTTCTCACGTCTTAGTAAGCTTAATCATTGCCCTTATTTCCATCACTTTTTTTAAAAAAAATTTCAGATTTCAAACTTCCTAGTTCCTAAATCTTTTTAATGTTTAATATCAAGTCTGTTCATATTAATTTAATTTGAATTCAATAAAAAAAGATTAAGAACCCTGTTTAAAAAAATGCACCCGAGGAACACTGATGATGAAGCAATCACGGAGTAACGACATAAATAATAGACAAATGTGGGAGTAACTATGTAAATAAACAAATTTGGGAGTATTTATGTAAAACCTGAAAATTCTGGGAGTATTCTTGTGAATTTTGCCGAATTAAAAGTTGATCTCCTCTCTTGTTTGAATCCAATATGTGTATACAAGAACCCAATATGTGTATTGTACTATTGTGTGTTTGTAGTATTGTTATGTTCAAGAGAAATTTAATTAAATAGGACTAAAACATAATGACTTTCCCAATATAAGACCATATGTTTTTATTTCCCAATGTAGGACTTTTGGTCATTATGAAGTAGTCATTATTCAAGTAAATGTTCATCATTATTGGACATTATTCCTCTCACTAGGTCATTATTAAGTCCTATTTAGGGAATAACAAAGTTTAAGTCCTACATTAGGAAAGTCATTATGTTTTAGTCCTATTTAGTCCAAATTTCACTATGTTCAATCCAAGCATACTTACTCGTCTCTTTGAGGTATATAAAGCTTTGAAATCTGATTTCATTGAGCTTATTTACCAAAGGTGTTAGAGATTGAGCATGAATTATATCTGGAAATAGATTATTTGGTTAGTTTTTTTGTTGAGTCTTTTTAAATTGTCCCCAATTTGCATCTTAAGAGTATGTAATTGCTAAAGGGTGTAAATCCGAGTGTAGAGATTAGCAAGCTACTAATCTATACCTATTGGTCAATTTCTAACAATCTCATTATATGATCTCGTTTGTGGAACCCATCCGCCGGAGTTGCGGTGATTGTTCCCGCCACCCACATACCGCCCCTTTTGCTGTGTCTGCACGGAACGATGCGCCTATCATCATCAATTTCACATTTTATTTATTTTTCTCTTCTAAATTGATTTTAAAATTGATTTCAAATTATAGATTTTTTTCTTCCTAAAGATTTCAATATTGATTTCAAATTATAGCTTTTAATATTTTAAAATATACAAGTAAATTGGGTTTTCTTTGTATAAATACTTAGCCAATACTCGTGAGGGTGTGTACGCAGACCTTGCCCCTACTTGAAAATAGAGAGAGTGTTACCAAAAGACATTCGGTTCAAACAAAATAGATAAAACAAGATGATCGAGGACATATATAATAGGGATAGCAAAAAGCACACCAAGTAATGAGTACCCAAGACAATTCCTTTGTCCGTCTCAGCATCAAATTTGCCCAAGTTATTTTTTCCATTGTTATGAATAAAACATTTGCAACCAAAGACTCAAAGATGAGAAAGATTTGGCTTTCTCCCTTTTTATAATTCATAACGCGTTTTCATGAGTATCGGTCGAATGAAGACTCTATTCAAAACGTAGCTCGCGGTACTCACGACATCTGCCCAAAAATACTTAGGGATTTTTGCCTCATTGATCATAGTTCTATTTTTACGTTCCACTACTCCATTTTGTTGTGGTGTACATGGGGCTGAGAAATTATGATCAATGTCAAGTTTGTCACAAAAATAAGAAAACAAGTTTCGTTCGAACTCTCCCCCATGGTCGCTTCTTATAGCTACAATGGTAGTCTCTTTTTCATTTTGAACTTTCTTTAGAAAATTTTTGAAAACTTGAAATGCCTCACTTTTATGAGTAAGAAACAAGGTCCATGTGAACCTAGAGTAGTCATCAACAATCACAAAAGCAAATTAAGTAACTGCCACCAAAACTTTTGGTTCTAGAAAGACCAAACAGATCCATGTGCAAAAGTTGAAGCGGTCTAGACGTTGAAACAACGTTCTTAGACTTAAACAAAGACCGAACTTGCTCCCCCTTTTGACATGCATCACATATGGTGTCTTTTTCAAACTTAAGTTTTGGAATGCGAATTACTAAGTCTTGTGAAACCAATTTATTCAAAATGTTCATGTTCATATGAGCTACCCTTTGGTGCCATTACCAAGTGTCTTCCTCTTTACTCATGAGGCACTTGGAAAAGTCAGAAGGGGTCTAAGTAAACCATATACATCTTATTGATTCTATCACCACGTAGAATAACCTTATTGTCACTAAGGCGTTCTACCGTGCATGTTTTTGAATCGAAGGTCATACGGTTTCCCTTGTCACAAAATTAACTTATGCTCAAGAGATTGTGTTTAAGACCTTTAACAAGCAAGACATTATCTATAGAGGAGTCTTCGGATTTACCAACCGAGCCAATGCCGATAATTTTCCCTTTGCTATTATCTCCAAAGACAACACTCCCTCCTTTAGCGGGCTTTATTTACAAGAACTTGGATGCATCTCTGGTCATGTGTTTGGAACATCCGCTATCAAGGTACCAAAGTACACTTGATGCCTTCAAGCACACCCACAAAGCAAATCAATGAGATTTAGGTACCTAAGTCACGTTGGGTCCTTGAGTGTTAGGTGCTTGATGGTAGTGTGCTTGATTTTGTGACATGTGCCTATGCCTAGTAAAGCAAACGGGTGCTATATGTCCTATCCTATTACAATAATGGAATACTACATTAGGATCATGCATACGCCTAGGTTGGTAATAACTGCTAGGGGGCCTGAACATATTGTTCATATTTTGTGAAAAAGATGGTTTATGCACACTTTGAAAAACTTCTCTTCTAGGTGCTTTAACATTGTTTCTCCTATTTTGGGAAAAATTATTTTTATGCACAAAATTATTTTGATAATTTTTCCTAAGTTGTCTAGCATGCACATTTTCATTCATATGCTGTTGTCTAGGTTGTCTAGTGTTCTTAGGTTGGCTAGGTTTTCTATTTTCCTGATTTCTATCTTTCTTATGTTAAGCCTTAGGTTGTTTAGGTGGTTGCTCAACTTTTTATTTATCTTTTGTTTCGTTTTTACCATAGCCTATTCATTCCTTAGAAAATTGCATGGTGTCAGGAAATAAATTAAAATCTTTGTGAGATGTACTAAATCTCTTAACTGTGCTCGCAAGTTTCTGACTTGTTCTTTTAAGGCTTTGCATGAGTTTAACCCACTTGTTGAACTTTCAGGTTTTTCGGTGCTTATTTTTCCATAAAATTTATTTTCTTGTTTTAATCTTTCATTATCTTTTTCAAGTTTCTCAAAAACATTTTCAAGAGTATAAAGACGTTTCTTTAAATCTTTATTTGTTTTAGAAGCGTCAACAAACTCATCATAAAGTTCACGAAGTGCATCTTGCATTTCCTCAAAAGAATACGAGTCGGTAGAAGAAGTGTTACATACCTCTTGTATGTCGTCGTTCTTTTCTTCGTGCGCCATGAGGCAAAGGTTTGCAGCCTCATCTTCCTCTTGGTCGGTTGATTCATTGCCGGAATCTCCACCCCACGAGATGTAGGTTCGTTGCTTCTTGAACCCACGTTTGTCCTTGCCGTTCTTGGCTTTTGGACACCTTGGCTTGATATGGCCGATCTCGTCACATCCATAGCACTTCGAGGAACCGTCTTCTCTTTGCGCTCATATTCGTTCTTAATGAATTTGTAGAACTTTTTGATAACAAGCCCAAACTTGTTATCTTCATCGCTTGATTCTTCTTCCAACGGTTCCTTGGTGGCTTTGAGTGTTATCCCCTTCTTCCTTTGATCATCCAAAGATGGGTTAAGTATAGTAGATTCATAACTTTTGAGGTTATCTCTTAGTCCATCAATTGTGACGTTGGAAACGCCAATTGATTTGTAGATGGTGTCGGCCTTTGAGCGCCACTCGGGAGTAAAACTTCGTAGGATCTTCCTCATGCGATCCTTGTTGGAATATGTTTTCTTCAATGCATGAAGATCGTTGATGATATTAGAGAAGCGGTCGAACATGTCATCGATCTTCTCATTTTCCTCCATCCTAAACATCTCATATTCTTTATTAGGAAATCAATTTTAGCTTCACGTATCGGATCTGTACCTTTGTACGTTGGTGGTGGAGCAACATGAGATCTTTCGGTAGTCGTCGGGGTTTACCACAAAATAGATCATGTTGATGGCTTTGGAGTAGTTTTCCACCTTTTTGATGTCTTCGGCAACAAACGCATCCTCAACTTTTGGAACGAGAGTTTCTCCGACCTTTTTCATGGGCACCTCTTTGCCATTCTTGATAACCAACCACAATTGGAAGTTGGTGGAACAAATATAGATTCTCATTCGTTCCTTCCAATATGTGTAGTTGGTACCATCGAAGAGAGGTGACCTAGAGGTTGATTGTCCTTCACCTGTTCCTGCATACAAGTTTCTTGAAGAAGAGCCCATGATCTTATTCCTCTCAAACGGTTAAGTCTAGAAGAGAGTTACGCT